TTCTTAATATTTTTGGTTATTTATTAGGAAACCTTACTAGATCCTGGTGCCTGCACTTTATGTTCGACTTCCTAAGCTTCCGTAGTCAACGTCACTACATTTATTAATTGTATTATTGGTTCGTTCTTAAGGTAGATAATACATATCAAGTTTGTTCCTTCCCTTGTGTTATTTTTGGCAAATAGGAGTTATTTATTGATAAAGTTACTCTCGCTGATAATAATAGCAAATATATGTCTTAAACAAGAGTAACTTATAGAATTTTGATTACATGCATTTATTTAAAAGTAGATTAAATTGCTTTAAATGTATTTGATAAATATTGGTGCAATTAGAGTTATATATTTGGATGTTTCTTGGTACTTGTGCATTTTAGCTTACAAATTTTAATATTTATGAAAATTTTTAGGGATTTTGTCTTTGTAGTTTATATCGCTGTTTCGTATTTCATCTCTCACTCCATATTTCAAAACTTCGGAGTTACATTATTTAAAATGAATTTAAGTTGCATAGTTAGAACATATAAGAGTAGAGCTATTAACAGTGCAGAAATATAAAAGTCTCAATTAAAAACTAATACATGTTAGGATCTTGTACAAGTGCTGGCAGCATATAGGGTCAATTATTCGAAATTTTAGCACAATTAGGGTGTAATTTGCTTAAGAATATTGATAGGGAGAACATGAATAATTAATTAGCTTCACAATTATCACATCATTTTAAGATAGGCTGACTAAATTAGGAGGTTAAAAATGCTTTAAATTAGGTAATACTCTTAGCAAGAAGCCATCATAATAAGTAGTACAATGGCCTGCTGATTTAAAACAGTCCAGGGTTTCACAATATTATCGCTTGATATTTATCTCGTCTATAGCTGCAGTTCTTGTATCAATATCATCCTTCTAATTTCTAGCTGAAAATTATAATGATAGCTCATCACCTCTTTGTGATTATTAGTAATATGCAATCAAAAATTACATGAATATTTATAGATCCAATATTCAGTTAGATGGCTGCTTAGATATGACTCTGAAGCCATTACTATTTGTAATTACAGTGCCCGTAATTTGTTGGAGATATGAGTTTCTGATTTAGTGTCATTATATTTATAAATGCAACATTTCAGTTTTGCAAGTATTATCAAAACATATTCAGCTACATGCTCTTCATATATTTGGATTTAAATAGAATTCATCATAGAAAGTTAGCTCATGATTGTAAATATTATATGTCAGGTGCTAGTTAATGTGGATCCTTATTCAATTTAGTCATAAACACATAATCCGTAAGAAAAGATTCTAATAGATGTCACGCAAAAACTAACTATAAAGTCATAAGTTGATTTTTCAAATACTGTTTGCATATTTATATTGTTTTAGGCTGAACTTTGGTGAAGATATATTCACAATGAAAGATTCGATAGAAAAAAAAACCTAAAGGGGAATCAAATGTGTATATTAAAATAATCGTAAAAATATACACAAATAGTTGTAAACTTTATTTATATATACTATTTTTCTTTTAAAAATAAACTTAAGAAATTTGTTTTGGATAAATAGATGTGAATATAAAATTGTAAATATCCCATTATGATAATGCTTCATAATTTTGACAGTTAATTTTGTATATAAGCATTCTAACCCAATCCAAGTCCCTATGCAACCAAATAAAAGTATTTAGCTTCTTATTATCTACGTAATTCAAATAATGAATCAGCTAAAATTATTGTTACAGAAGAATTTACCTTTATATTTAAATCTAAATGCAGTAGTTTTTAACTAAAGGGCTTACTCGAAATTTGAGAGTGCATCCATAAATTTTTATTATTTGTTTAGGATTAAACCTGAATAAAAAAAAATATTTACACCTTTATTTTCAAATGCTCCATCACATTTGGGGTTAATAAATATAGATATATTGTAACATTCAATTGCTTCTTGATATTGTTTCAATTTTTTTAATACATTACCTAATTATTAATATTTAATATTTATTTACCCTTGTTATACCATGCAAAAGAATGAATATGGTTAATAGATATTGCTTCATTGTAACATTGTAATGCTTCTTGATATTGTTTCAATGTATATAATGTCCTCCCTAAATATAAATAGTTAACAATTAATTACCCTTTTAATTCCAAGCAATCTCATTTTAAGGATCAATAGCTATTGCTTCATTGAAACATTTAATTGCTTCTTGATATTGTTTCAAGCTGTATAATATCTTCCCTAAATATAAATAGTTAACGATGAATTACCCTTGTTATACCATAAAGAAGAAAAATTAGGGTTAATAGATATTGATTCATTGAAACATATTATTGCTTCTTGATATTGATTCAATTAATATAGTGCAGACCCTAAATATTAATACTTAAAATTAGTTACCCTTGCCATTCCATGCTGACTCAATTTTTGAATTAATAGAAATTGCTTTGTTGAAACATTAAATTGCCTCTTAATATTGATTCAATTTATATAGTTCAGATCCTAAATAATAATACTTAAATTTAGTTACCCTTGCCATTCCATGCTGACTCAATTTTGAATTAATAGAAATTGCTTTGTCGAAACATTAAATTGCTTTTTAATATTGATTCAATTGATATAGTGCAGACCCTAAAGATTAATACTTAAAAATTAATTACCCT